GATTTCTTGGCATGTTCAAGTGAACTTTGGCTGAAGTAAGAGAGAAATGAACTGATAGACAACTGTGTAAGATGAAAAGAGACAAAGCGTTTGTTTTGAATCTCCAGACAGTAGACAGTAGTCGGCGCTGACCTTTATTTACATAAGGCAATGTGCGGATATGACAAATATTATAGTGATTAAAGTCTGTATTGATTTTCCAATAATATATATTATAATAGTTATAGAATTATACAACAAATGATTTGTTCCAAATTGGTTTAAATAGTCCTCACGTTAAAGAGTTCTTAAAACAAATTGGATGAAGTAGGTCAACTTTTTTTTCGTCTCCAATAGAAGCCACAAAACATTCCAAAAGCTATATCTAATGCCTCATGGTAAGTAAAGTAATTTTGTTACAATTCAGTTATTTATTGCTATTCTGATAATTAAATGCTGTCATTTATATTTGCATGCAAATATTCTAATTTAAAGCTACTTAAATTGATACTTTAATAATATGTCCTTGTATTTTTGAAATAAGTTAAATAAACAGTGAATAATTATGTTCCAATGGAATATAATTAGAACTAAAAAATAACTTGTTTGCATTTTTTAGTTCAAGACAATTCGCAATCAAATCCTTGAAAGATATATTAAGAATACCATATTGTAGGAAAATTTTCCATCAAAATTTTTTCAAGCAAATTCTTGAATGTATATTAAGAATACCACATTTTACCAAATTTTTCCATATATTTATTTATAACTTGGGTGCCAAATAAAACAATCCTTTAGTGATGATATTGGTACATGGAATTCATTTTTCACTTTTCGAAGGAGATCTTTGGGTCCTAGCCAAAAATCCAAAATTCATATTTTGTTGTTTTCTCGAATCATTCTGAATCGTTTGACATCGAAATTGAAACAAGTATGTATTATTAGTGACCCAAATATATTATATTTTTAGTAACTTGAGTTAGGTGATAGAACAATTCAAAACATTCCATGGTAACATAAATAATAAATTTTTTATACAGATTTCTTACATCCGTCCATTGTTTCAGAGAATAGATATAAATATCATGTATGTTTATATATATATATATATATATATATATATATATATATATATACATATCTACGCTATTTATATAAACAAATAAACACCAAACAAATTTAAGCGTTACCATAATTTAGTTCTATTTTAATCATTCGCGAATAGATTTTCCGATAAAATCTAATGACGAACTGAAACGTAAACAAGAAAATAGTAAAATCGATACTGGAAACATTGCATGACATGATATTTACAAATATCAGTCTAAGTCTGAAGTAGCAATTTGTTGGTTCTTAGAAAAACTTGTGATGCCAAATACACGGTGTCCATCACGCGATATTTGCTCAAGGCGCCATGTATGCAAAAGATCTAAAGCTCGTGACTTAATTTAATATTGTATAATATTTTAATTTGTTATTCACATTTGTGATTATTATTAATAATACTTGGGTATATGAGATTTCAAATAGAGGTTCCAGGTTCGATATCCGCCTCGGGCAGCCTGATGTCAAGCAATCCGGAAAAATCACTTGAAATCTAGAAAGCAACATGTTTCCAGTCCAGCATTGCTGCATGAATAGCAAAGTCATAACTTTAAATACAGAAATTTTAATTAAAAAAATCCAAATCACATAGAGAACTGTTTAGGTTACCAATTAATAAAGGTATATAGAACGTTAAGTCAGATCAGCTTTAGCAGGGCTTCTTAAACTTTCGTTATTCGCCACCCCATTTACGATTGCAAGTTTTTTGACGACCCAATTTATGATGGTGACGACCTCACACAAATATAAAAGAAAGAGAAATTATTATTTTTAGATGATCTATTTATTAGATCATCATATATGGTTTTAGAATTCTTTGTAAAATCTAGACGTAATGTTATAAATGATAGATATGTTTGGCATTAAAATCTTTTGCGAACCCATAATTTTCCTAGGTGACCCCAAATGGGCCGCGACCCATAGTTTGAGAACCAATGTCCGGAATTAAAAAAAAAAGAATATTTATCAGTGATTCAATTCGATTTGGAGTTTTCAATATAATGTGACAAATTCATCTTAGGACACCCTGTTTAATAAATATAGCCACAATGACGCAATAGTTACAATTGAATAAACTAATAATAAGAGATCTGGTTCACAACTTATTAAAATATTTTTGCCATAATGAAAAACATTTTTCATACGCTCAACAATTCTTTGTTTAATTTTTGAAAATTGATGTATGAGAATGGATATCTATAAATAATTCTTTGATCAATTGGTTGATCCAGTAATAATTAAAATTAATCATATAAAATAAATTGTTTTGTGAAAAGGTTTTTCTCGATGGTTCGGACTCACACGAACACATTCCATTTTCAACTATAACATTTTAACTTACATTAGTTAATTATAATATTTGTCATAAACAACATTTACACTTCTTGATGTTAATTCAAGTCAATGCTTTGAAACTATTTAGAAAAAAATTGTATCCGCACATAGATCAATTTTTTCTAAGGTATGCCAAAAGGTTTAGAAACCTTTGAAACGTGAAGATAAACAAAAAAATTAATTTTCAATTTTTCGCAATTGCTGTAACCATTCCTACGGAAAGTTTAGTATTTCTTTTAAAAAATCCTATATCATTTATATTTTGTTATACCAGTCTCCTATCTATCGCGATGGTATGTGCAACAGTTGATTGCGTGAATGTTCGTACATTTAACCTTGTATTTAATGAAAAAATAATTAATTGTCAGATTGCGAGTACACTATGTATTATGCAATGTATATTTTTGTGGAAAATAATTAATGACCTTTCAGATAATTCTATAAATGTACCGAATGAATGCTCTTATGTACCAAATGAAAAATTGAAACTTACTGAACTTACCAACATGTGCAAAAAATAAGAATTGAGATTCAAAATGACTTTAAACGTCGCCAATCAGTCTCATAAATAATTATAAATAATGATAAATAAATCTCATTCATGAAGCTAGTGAAACAAGAAAGATTTTGGTTACGTTCAATATATTTTTATATTATGAATAATTTAAAACAATTCGTAAAACTTCATTTCCTAGTCCAAAAATTTAACAAGGATATTCATTTCATAAAAAATCAGAAAATGCAATAGCAAACTTCTTTTACAACATTGTTGCTTTTTCGTAATTTTTTTAATTGAAAAAAAAAATCTATTGTCGTATTATCACATCTAATACCAAAAAAATTAAATCTATAAGAATGTATCTACCAAGTAAGTTCAAGTTGAGTACCATTTTTTTGAAAATAAATATGAAATCAAATTATAAATAAGAAAAACTATTTTTTTAAATTATTTCAAAGTCTCCATTTTCCAAAATATTCGCTTCAAGAAGGTATATTAGCGTAATTTAAATTTTTTAAAAGCTTCAAAATTTGTTGAAACCTTTAAAAAAATTATATTTTTGATGATTGTAAAATTTTTGGAAAAAAATGATTTTTTGTACATTTTTGAAAGCAATCGTGATGCGTGGCTTCTTTTAAAAAAAATTGTAATCAAATTATATATTTTTGATTAAAATCTCTATAAATTATCTGATAAATTGATGTGATTATGTCTAATGATCAATTTTAACCGCCAAATGCCATTTTCCTCCAAATATTTTCATTGGGACTCTAAATCGCTAGATCCGCCTTTCCAAAAATCGTTTTTTAAATTACTCAAATCGGATGCTTCGTTATTTTAAAAAATCAATTACCATTTTTGCACTTTTTTTCCCGTATATCCAAAATGATTGGACCTCCCTTTCGCAAAAACTAATCAGCACGTCGTCTCCTCATCAATAGTAATCGAATGTTTTTTGAATCATTCAAACCGGTTGATCCGTTTACTCAAACTCGTCGACGAAAAATTGTAACCAAACATACATACATTCTTTCTAAGGCATGCCAAAATGTTTAGATATCTTTGAAACTTTTGTAAAGATATACAAAAAATTCAATTTTCTTTTTTCGATTACTTATATACTTATTATACTAAGTTAAAAATATTCAACTCTTTCTAAATGAACATTCTAAGTATTATAAGTCCGCAAAAATTCGTTTAATTATGAAAATTCATTAAAGTTTGGGCATTAATTGGCAAAACCTAAACTACAAAACGCATAAACGTCAAATCAAAATTTTATCCTAAGTGCATCTTTCTGATGTGTAAAACGCCTGAAGTTAGTTTTATATGCAAAACGCCTGAAGTTAGCTTTATGTGTAAAACGCATGAAGTTAGTTTTATGTGTAAAACGCCTGAAGTTAGTTTTATGTGTAAAACGCCTGAAGTTAGTTTTATGTGTAAAACGCCTGAAGTTAGTTTTATGTGTAAAACGCCTGAAGTTAGCTTTATGTGTAAAACGCCTGAAGTTAGTTTTATGTGTAAAACGCCTGAAGTTAGTTTTATGTGTAACACGCTTTAGTTTAGTTTAGTTTTTACCATAGATAAGTAAACATAATTTTTACATTTAAACATAGTTTTTACTATCAATTCATATGAAGATAGAACCGTAACATAGCGTTGTTAGATATAACATTAACTAATTAACTAACATTTGTATTTTCTCGGTGAATTGCCCCTTACTATGTACTTGACGAATATAATCGTCATGAACTCGTTTTACAAAACTATGTTCACACTGTTCGATGTGACCAAGTATGTGGGCGCCACTTGTTAATAAATCAAAAAATAAAAAAAGCTATTGTATTTACTATAAGCAATGATTTATGATCAATAACTTCCAAATATAAATAAACAAGCTTTCTCTATTTATATTATTTAAAAAAAAAACTACCAGCTAATCAGGCGCATTATTTTTCTCTACTCAATTCTCCTCTACATAAATTTAATTTCCGTCATGTTGTCCCATCTGTAACCTTGGTGACGTTTGATAGTCACATAAATTAAGCAAATATAACCTTTAAAACATTAATCGCTGGATTTAAAGCACGTGCGGAAGTTTATTCGGTTAATTTTAGATTTTCTTCACTCACAATTGTGCTCTTTTAATAAAAAATACAAAAATGCATTCTTATGACGAACAAGTTAAAGCCTTGGCTTTGAGATTGTTCGAAATTAATGCATTTAAATTCGGCGAATTCAAAATGAAGGTTGGAATTAATTCGCCAGTGTATTTCGATTTGCGTGTTATTGTCAGTTATCCTGATGTTATGGTAAATTATAATATATATAATATTACAACGTATTTTTAGTAGTTTAGGCGTAAATTATTTTAAGTAACCTCTATATTAATTTCATATAGAACACAAATTTGTATGGGCTACATAAACATTCTTGTTTTATAGTTTAAAAATCATATATGAGAAATTATTGTTTATCAAAACATATAGCTTGAATTTAAATACATTATCTTGTTTATTACTTGGTTAATATATCTTAAAATCAACTTCATCGAACACTATACTTGACTCATTTCGATACAGGGTGTTCGGGACAAACTTGATCTAAATACATATTCCATGTAAAGTTATAAAACAAGAATGTAAATTTTTTTACCTATTCCAATATCATTGCTATTACTTGATTTAATTAATTCAATATCATTTTTATTCAGCATGATTGAAAATTCTACTAGCATCATTTTACTTATAGTGTTCGACACAAACTTGATGAAAATATTTCATGTAAAATTGTAAAACAAGAATGTAAATTTCTTAGCTATTCCAATAACCACATTCCACATACATTATCATGTCTGTTACTTGGTTAATATATTTTTAAATCAACACAAACTCGACTTCGACTCATTTCACTTTTGTGACAAACTTGATCTAATCTAATTCCATCTAGAATTGTAAAGCACGATTATAAAATTCTTTAGCTATTCCAATAAACTGGAATTCTTCAACATTCCACATACATTATCATGCCTATTATATTATTATAATAATAATCCATGTAAAAATGTAAATAGATATTTCTTTAAGTGCATTCATATACCTTTTGTTTATGAAATTTCTTACACCAGCACAAAAAGATGTGGAAATATTTGGCTTAGGCATTTTGTTTGAGACTTGTTTGACCTTTATGGACTTATAGTTAAATTTTGTTCCATTACATGTAAATCGTTAAGAATGATATTAAAGTAATGTAAAGAATTTAAAATAAATGAGCCACTGATAGGCATGTACTATGCAATTGTACATTCCAAACTTAAGTAATATCGATTACTTGATGTCCTCAATTTTTTCATCGTATATCAATGTTTAATTCTAATTATTTTTATATTATTCTAGGATCAGGTAGCGCAGATGCTGTGGGATTTTGCAAGAGAAAAATCTAAATGCCAACATTTATGCGGTGTCCCTTACACAGCTTTACCAGTGGCGACATTAATTTCTGTTAATTCTAAAATTCCAATGCTCATAAGGTAATTATTTAAATATTGTTCCTATAATTTTTATAACAGAGGTCAACAATTTATTTGGACTTCTAGTTTTGTTAAACTAAATAACAAATTGCTGTAGATTTTTCATTATCATTTTTCAAAGATTGTTCTGATCTATTTTATAATAAAATATACATCAACTATTTATGAGAACGTCTGGTTTTGATAAATTAAACATAAATTCTTGTAGATTTTTATGAGTCTTTATCTGATTCATTATCTTAAAATGTTTTGTCCTTGAGAAATGATTAATTTGAAATTGAATAAGTGGATAAACTTGGAGTCAATAAACTCTCATTGATATAGTTTATATAAAAATCTTGAGCTATAAGATTATAATTAATATTAAATAATAATTTCTCAAAATCTCTGACAGAGGATTTTGTATTTTACAAACTTCTTTTTTATTCCCATATTTTAGGTATAAAAATTATTGTATAATAAAAAATACTTATAGTTCACAATATTTATACATAATTTATAATTATATTGTTATTAATGGTTAAATTACTATATTGTTTGTAATTAGTAATTATATATATATATATATATATATATATATATATATATATATGATTATTATAATTATTCAATTATTATTACAGGAGGAAAGAAGCAAAAAGTTATGGTACCAAAAAACTTATTGAAGGTAAATTTAAAGCAGGTGATACGTGTTTGATTATTGAAGATATTGTCACGTCTGGTGCCAGCATTTTAGAAACAGTAAAGGACTTAGAGAGCGAAGGATTAAAAGTATGATTTCTTTGGAAAAAACATTTGTTTTTATTTTTCAATCATTAATAAATTTACTAAAAATAATTATGTAAATGTATGAAACTCATAAAAAATATGATCCAAGTTTTTATTTAATTAATTAACATTTATATTTAATAAATAAATTTACTATTAATTTTAAATTTGTAGGTTACTGATGCTATTGTGGTCGTGGATAGAGAACAAGGAGGTGCCGAAAACATTAATAACCATGGAATAAAAATGCATTCGCTATTTACTCTTACTCAGTTATTGAAAATCTTAAAGTTAGTATTATTTTAATACAAAATGTAGCACATGAACCGTTTATAAAATGAGTAATTCTATAATTTGATTAATTCTTATAGAGAGGCAGGTAAAATTCAACAGGACACGTTGGACTCTGTACAAAAATATCTTAAAGCTGTGCAAATGAAGCCAGATGGTTCATTCAAAGACGGTAATTAATTAATTGGTAATTAATTTAATGCATATTTATTTTTATTTTATTATTCATTCTTATTTCAGATGAGACTGTAGACAGAACAAAGCTCAGTTATGAAGAACGAGCAAAAATAACCAAAAATGAAGTTGCAAAAAAATTATTCAGTATTATGGCTACAAAACAAACAAATCTATGCGTAGCTTTAGACCTCACAAAATCTATAGAAATCCTAGATGTATTGGAACAAGTGGCCCCCCATATTTGCATTCTAAAATTGCACTGTGATATAATCATTGATTTCAATGATAATTTGATTAAAAACATTGCCAAATTAGCCGAAAAACATAATTTCATGATAATGGAAGACAGGAAGTTCTCTGATATTGGGAATACAGTGATGTTGCAATATACTGCTGGATTGCATAGAATAGGATCTTGGGCTGATTTGGTAACGGTTCATGGAATTTCTGGTCCAGGAGTTATTGACTCGTTGAGAGCTGGGATGAAGGCAAATGCTTGGGAGAATAAAGGATTGTTTTTGTTGGCAGAAATGAGCTCTAAGGTATAACTGATATATAAATATTTTATATATATATATATATATATATGTATATATATATATATATATAAATATAAATAAATAAATAATTTTTTTTTATTACAGGATAATCTTCTTACTCCCTCATACACCGAATCAATCTTGAAACAAACATTCCAAAACCTAGACCTTGTCGTGGGTTTAGTATGCCAAAATAAAAACATAGTTAAAGAGCCAGGCCTAATTCAATTCACACCAGGCGTGCAACTAAATCAAGGTGTCGATTCCATGGATCAAGTTTACAACACACCAAACAAAGTCGTTAAAACAAATGGAGCAGATATAGCAGTCGTAGGAAGAGGAATTACAGAATCCAAAAACCCAGAAAATACTGCTAGAATTTATCGGGACCAACTTTGGCAAGCGTATTTAGATAGACTGCACTAAGCGGTCCTTAGGGTGGAAATTACTTTTTTGCAGAAATTTTTACCTCATATATAACACAATAAAACTTGTTATTCAGTTACCAACGTAATACCTCTAATTAAATTATAAAAATATTATATGAGTTAAGATTTTTTTCTGTAATATGCCCTTTGCCGTTAATTATATCTTGTGTAGCAACAATAATTTATGTTTACACTTTCTAAAATCATAGAATAAGAATAACATGTATGTAAATATTTTTTGTCGAACTTTGTTTGCAATTGTGTACAAATAAGCTCTTCGAAAACAAGGGTTTTTAATATAAACATAATTTAAACTGTATTACAATCTATTTTTAAAAATCAATGTTTGTAGCCTGATTTAATAGTTCAATTCAATTAGACTTAATTATATGTAGCCCTGTTATTATTAGTGTTAAGAATAATATTAAACTAATTGCAGTCTTTTATACGTTGAAAAATTATCTTTAATCTATATAATTATTTAGTTACATGAGGCTTCCAAAAGACAAAATTATTTAGGCAACTTTTATCAAAGTGTGGTGCTGGTTTTAAACTAAAAAAAAATCCTGTATTTAGTATATCGATATCTTTAATGTACCTTATAAATTGTATTTTGTATATGAGTCAAATCTGTAAGATTTGTTTGTATATAAAACTAATATTAAAAATCACTTTTATAAATTTTATATTGGCAAAATAAAAAAAATAGCTTTTCTTTAGTTGTGTGTCTTATTGAAAATTGAAAATTATATTTATAGCTTTTAATGAAAACTCGGAATAAATGACTCAATTATTTGAATTTAAACAATTATTCGGGTTTTGGTAATCTTTGTAAAAATATGCCCATGAAATTTGTATTTGGCATTGAATTTGGCAGTGATTTGAGTGTCTGACACATATATAATGCATTAAAGTAATGCGTTTCTGTCTCGCATGATAAAATATTTTATGCTTTACCAAATTTTTGTGTTAAGACTTATCAAACCCAAAAAAACAACAAGAATCAAATATAACACTCGTACTATAATTTTAACATAAAACACAATAATATAACATGATATATAAACTACCATAAATGATAACATTAAAACATGCAGCGACAACACAGAAATAAATGTTTTCTATTTACCACGGATGAAAGTCTTCGTATATAAATATTCTAAGCTGTTGGTGCTGGTCTTGGTGGTCTTTGCTCGGCATCGTTCCACCATTGCAATTCACCAGAACCAAAAATAAGAAAAACTATTCCACTTACTAACAAGAAAACTGCTGTCTTCCAAAACACAATACACCATTCATCACGATTACTCTGGAAATTACACAAGAATAAAATATTATGTTAAGAAAGTCTTTAGTAACATTGACACTTGTTATTTGAATTTATTAATATCACTGATTTTCTACAAATGTTTCAACGTTGGAACTGTCAGTTTAAAATTTAGGATCTGTGCGCACATAGGTTAAAACTGACACAAACAAAGTCTACATTTTTGCATAAGTTTATGATAAAAACCAACAATTTGAGTTTAAATCGAAACAAATTTGATTTGAATACAGTTATATAAATATATATAATTATAATCACCTGCATTTTATCATTTAGAGGCACTAAAAATAGATCCGCCATTGTGACAGTTTTGATATTTGAAAACATTTGCTTAAAAATTTCTAGTATAATTTAATAACCATAATAATAATTACTTTGTGAGTCCCACAATTATCAAAAATTTATGTCCAGCAAGTTTGTTTTAATTGACACGTTTATATATCTTTAATAATCAACAAATTTTGTGCAAAAACATGACAGCTTGCGTTGTTTAAAAACAATGTCAGTTTAAATTTTAGGGTCAGCGCGCACTATGACAAATGGACAGAAAAAATTTGAAATGTTACAAATTTTCAAAAATTATATTTTGACTTAATTATATTCAAATATAGCATAACTATAATTATGAATATGATAATAATATAATTGATTGATTGATTAATCAGTCGTATTATTAAAAAAAAACAATAAACGCGATTGCCAACCGAAAGGGTGAAGTTTCCGTTAAACGGTTTTTTATATTTCAAAATAGGTTTCAAATTTTTGAAAAAACCGTCAACAAAAAATCAAATTTTGTCTCGCATACACTGGTAGTTTTTCAATTTTGGTGTCAAACGATTCAAAATCGCTCCAAACGTTGAAAGATATAAAATTAGCAAATCTAATCAATAATCATCAATATCAAAGACCTAATTCTTTGCATTAATTCAAAATACCAAATTATCCGTTAATAAACTTTTATATCCAAATGCAGAAGTTAATAAATTTTAAATTTTCTGAAAATGTATTTTATATTTAAATATTTTCAATTATTTTATTATAATTTTTACTTACATGAGTTATTATAGCCGAGGTGATAGTAGGTCCTGCTGCACCCACCACTGCTCCAATGCAATTTACAATACCAGCCAAAGTTCCTGCATAATTTGGGGCCAAGTCCAGCATGTTGATCTTTACACCAGGATAATAGAAAGACCGAAATGCTGGAAAGAAATTAATATTAAAAATAGAAATATACATATTGTTTAATTGTTTTTAGACTGGTTCCACTTGCATAAATAAATTATATATATATATATATATATATATATATACAGTGGCGTCGGAAATAATTAAGTAATATTATTTACCAAATGCAACAACGAAAAAGGCGATCATCACATCAGGAAGGTCACCAATGTAAAAAGCGACGATCAACAAAGTAGAAGTCACAGTACAACCTGTAAAAATTACAAATTTTAGTACAATCCAAAAATATTATGATGAATATAATGACTGATTAATGTCTGGCTACAAATTTATTAACAAATAAAACTAATAGCAGCCTTAAATACGTTTCTCAGAACCATCTTCAGTCAAAGGATAATATTACACTTATTTACTTGTGAGCTGCAAAATACAACTTGGAACCAAATTTCATGAAAAATTGAAATTAACCTTAAACTAAGTGTAAGTGGCATTTCGTTTTCAGGTTGCCAATAATTTCGATATGTGTGAGGCCCCTGGCAACCTCACATCGGGCATCAGCAATGTCCATTTTCACTTGATAATATTGATAAAAAATAGTCCAATTGAAAATAGACTATTTCAAGCACTTCTATATGAAATGACAATGAAAAACCCTTCACAGTTTTTCCCTGAATCGATTTGGAATTTAACTTTGCTCACAAACCTGCCCTAAGGCAGTACTACTCATTATTAATATGTGAAAAGAATAGAATAAAATGTTATTCAGCGACTTGTAAAATTGTGACGATATATTTTTGATATTTGCCACCTTGCCAGTAATATTTTCGCTATATTATCAAGATAAAATTTATTATATTTAATAATATCATAATATTTTATTTACTTATCGTATTGCAGGTTTTTCTGATTACACCTACACTCGTCCATTTTTTTCGTAGTATCCAATCGCAAATTTTGCTAATACTAATCGAAAATATGAACATCAAGAGGTATGGTATGGCTGATATCAATCTGAAAAAACCACATTATTTATGTAATGAAATTAAAATAAATTATTTTAAATTGTACTGCATTTTTCATACCCGTTGTCTCTTATATCGTAGTGTATGACATCGTTCACAAATTTCGGAAACATTACTGAAAATACGAAGAAGGAATAATCTTGACCACACTGAAACAGAATTACATATATCTTATTTAATTCATATTTGGAACATAATAACGCAAAATTATCTAATCGGATTTGTTTGCATATATGTTCCCAGTAAACCACAGAATGTAATTAAAACGTTAATATAACGTATCATCTATAACGTCGAACGTATCGGTTACGTAACCTAGAAGGCAAACAGACGTTTCTATTTCCGCCTCAAAAACGTAACGCAGATCTTAAAGAAATCGAATAATGAAGATATTTCACAAAAACTTAAAATAATTCAAAGAATTTACTACTTCAGAAATGCCAGAATTTGACTTGTTAAATGCACCACACCATCATGTTAATAGAAAGACTTTCTGTCACCTCTAAAAACTATACAATTAATGGTGAATCAAGCATTCGGCAAATATTTTTAAAATTGAATAATATATCATATTACGAATAAATTCTAAAATTTCTTTTGAATATTGGAAATATTCTCGAACAAAAATTTTGGTCAAATTTGGATAAATAATAAAACAATTACAATCATATTTAAATCTATATTTTCAAGTGGAATCTGTGTAAGACCATATAATTTTCTACAGAGCCACAAGCAAGATCATAAAACAAATTTATTTATATAAAGGTTTGTCGAGTTCAATACAACCTAAAATGTTTCTTCATAATGTCAAACTTATAGCAAAGTACTTTATATTTTTTTATACTTTCTCTGTACTTTCTGTATACATAATTGTGATCAGTTCTAAAAACCATTCGATTAATATGAATCAAGCATTTGGCAAATATTTTTTAAATTGAATAATATATTATGTTATGATAAATTCTAAAATTGCGGTCGAATATTGAAAATATTCTCAAACAAAAATTTTGGTCAAATTTGGATAAACAATAAAACCATTCGTTAAATCGAAAGGCTATTTCTACTCGAAATCATAATTAGATCTATTTTTTCAAGTGAAATCTGCGCAATACCATAGACCTTTGCACTGAGTCACAGGCAAGCTTATAAATTTATTGAGTTTTTTTAAGAGATCTCTTTGGACTTTTTTATGTTATTGGTTTAACTTCATTTATAGTGAAATAAGATTTTGTGGTGTAATGGTTGAGAATCTGGGCTAACACAAACTAGCCCCAGCTTAGATCTCAACCACGGTCAGCTCAATATCAAGTAGTATGATATAAAAAAAGAGCGCTGGGTTGCCCTCTCGACAAAAATTATCAAATTAATTCGTACAACAGAAACAGCTCATAAAACACGTAGCTATGTTTATTATAAAACTATATTTTATGAAATACCTGTGCTATTATCATAGCCCACATTGGGCACGATGTAAAGACAGCTTTAAATGGTATTTTCTTTGGTTTATCCGTTATATTCATCTTAGCCTGTTCCTCCAGAATAAACGTCTTTTCCTCATCGGATATATACGGATGCGTTGCAGGTGAATTAAATACCAAAAGCCACTGAAGAAGTGTAAAAAACACTCTATAAATAAATTATTTATTGTAAAGTTTTAGGTTTAGTTTTACCCAAAAAATAAGCCACAGTACGCTCAAGCTGCCGTACAAATAGAAGACATAGTGCCAATTTTTTGTAACTTCCATTAACCAGCCAGTTAGTGCATTGCTGACAGTGATTCCTAACATCAGACCAGATGAAGCATATGTGGACATAGTTGCTCTTTCCATAGGTGGTGCCCATTTGGCTACCACGTTTAAAGATATTGGTATGGTCATCCCCTAAAAATAATAATTTCGGATAATTGCAGAGTCTGGGATAAAACAAAAATGTCTATTATATCAATTACTTCTAGCAATCCACTCAGGCCCCGAATGGTGATCATGGCGTAGAAGTCTCCGTAGGTGACCCCTATTGGAACAAGTAGGGTCAACGTACCCACACAGCCCCCAACAAAGGCGAGTACCCTTTTCGCTCCATAGATATCGGCCAAGTAGCCACCAGGAATTTGCAGGAACGGGTAGAACCAATTGTAAGAACTGAGGATAAAGCCTTGCATATGATGGCCCCAGTTTAATGGCTTATTCTGAAAAAAAATAGTAAAATTAGTTAAAGGACACGTTAAAATAATTTTCATTATAAAATTTAAACTTACGACAAAATCAGCAGGTGGTTCACTCATAATCATGATGGCTACTGTAATTGCTGTTCTCTGCATATATGTATTGAAAAGACTCCAAAACATCATCATAATGATGACGTAGCGTTTCGGTATTACTACACCTGAAAGAAATAAAGAAAATCATTTAATATCATGGAAAATTATTTTTTCTTAGAAGCTCCAATATCCATAAAATAACTATTTTTTTAAAAAATAGGTAGTTGAACATAAATAGTGCTTCAAAGTTGATAGAAATTATACAAGCAGCAATATATAATTTTTTTAATTTTTTTAATCAGTATTTTTCTTAATAAAGCTTTTCGATTGAATACAGCAATCAATACTTACATTTTCCTAGACATTTTGCACATTTTTCAGTCATCGGAATAAATTATTGAAAAATCTAATCTAATAAATCATTTAGAAAAGTCAAAAAACAAAATTTGTTGATTTGTGACTTAAAAAAACTTGACATAATAATGATTCCAAAAATATAATAACATCAAATATGCTAATTTTATGTTTTATCGAGGTTTCAAGTCATTTTGAATCGAATGAGACCAAATTTGGAAAATATATATACGTGTTTATGTGTGTGTTTTTGAGCCGATTTTTGACCTTTCGTCGTCGTTTTCCTAAAAACGGCTGAACCGATTTCAGAAATTTAAAAGCCATTTGATGTAACTCAATGAGGACTATCGTTTGTCAGTTTTGTGCGACAATCTGCCAAGCCGTTTCTTTGTAATTTAGAAAAAAGTATTAAACTTTTCGTCCACATTTAAGCTCATACTACTGAATTGATTTAAAAAAATCAAAAACTGTTCTAAGGATATTAGTTAGGAATGATTCTGATTAGTTTTAGGTGAAAATCCAATTCTTGTAATAAACTGTTGAACAAAAAATGTAAGCCGATTTTTATGGAACTTTCTTTGGCGATGTATATCATGGTCTTATAGAACTCACTGATAAATTACGGCCTTACGACAAGTAGTTTAATTTTAAAAAATCATCAAAGTTTGAGAAAATGTGTAGTTTTTTACGTTTGTTGAAATTAAAATTAGACGATTTACTTATAATTAGTACAACGAAAGAGTGTTCGTTCGTTTTCAATGATGTGTGATAAATCCACTGGAAAAATACGGTTAATCACTCATAAATTAGATCATATTTTATTAAGTCAATTATTTACACATATCAGGAAGTTCATGTAACTTGCCTCAAGGCAAAAGTTTGATCACAATTGAATAATTTGCAACAGTTCCTCACATCATAAAGCCCTACACCCACTGGAATTCTTATAAATCACTCATAAATTAATATATTGATTAAGTCTATTATTTACACAAGTCGGAAAATTCATGCAACTTGTTTGTTAAGGTAAAATTCTCTTTCCAACTTGTTTAAATTTTAAATTTAAAAATGGCTTCCGTAAAACCGCCATTTTTAAACAACTACTTTAGCGCCATCTAACACCAACAGAATAAACGTAGACTAATGACAGTTTCGTAGTCACATGGCACTACTAAATACTGCAGCCAACTTCACGAGTGCGTTCTCTTTGTAAATTCTTCTTATGTTCTAGCTCATTTCCGGCTGTATTATTTCTTTTCTAAAAGTAATTCCAAGGAGGAAAGATGGTACGTATCTGTCATCTGCGGATATATTGTTATTATCACTAAATCCAGTTTATAAAACTGCAAAAATGGCATCGTTATCGGTTGTGGAAAATGCTGAAATCTAAATTTGTTAGTGAAAAGTGTTTGTGAGAAACTAAAGGGCTTTCAAAAAGTTGACATAGTAGTAAATGAAAATTTAGTGGTTGTTTAAGTTGTATTATACAGCTAGATATTGATTGTTGAAAATGGTTATAAGCATTGTTTGATATAAGTGATATATTAAATAAGTTACTAAAAGATTTGACAAACATAACCTAACTTAACCTATTAGTGGCGTGTCACCTTAGCAATTTATACAACAGTTTAATTTGAGCCCTTTATACGAATTTTAATAATATTTGTTACCCTTGCAACTATTGCAATCGGTTTATCTTAAGTTATAGGTATAATTTTCATAGCAGTCTCTAATTATTTATTTGTTTTAGAGCGAAGGCACAGCTACCATCAGAACCCGCAAATTTATGACCAATCGGCTTTTATGCCGAAAACAAATGGTCTGCGATGTTTTGCACCCAGGTCAGCCTTCAGTACGCAAAACAGAAATTCGCGAGAAACTCGCTAAAATGTACAAAGTAAGTACCACTAATATATGTTATCTTCCAAATATCCATTCCCTTGCATTTAATATATATTATTTACCTAATATTCATTTATCTTTTAGGTTACATCAGATGTAGTATTTGTATTCGGCTTCCGCACAAACTTCGGTGGTGGCAAATCAACTGGATTTGCTTTAATCTACGACTCATTAGACTATGCCAAGAAATTTGAACCTAAACACAGGTTAGGAAGGCACGGTCTCTATGAAAAGAAGCAACAGACACGTAAACAACGTAAAGAACGTAAGAACAGAATGAAGAAAGTCCGAGGAACGAAAAAATCTAAAGTTGGTGCTGCTTCTAAAAAGGTAATAATAATAATCTCACTAAAAAAAAATTATCTGCAAATATATCATAGAATTTCTTTAAAATGCAAATTGCATTAGATAAATTTCTTTGTTTACAACTTTTTAAGTTGAAACATTTATGTATGTTGTATTTGTAATCTTTCAGGGAAAGAAATAAGTCTTATATTGATGTTGTGCTCTACAATACACAGTAATTATTACGAGTGACGTTTGCAGTTTGAAATTTTAATTGCTAACATTACAATATGTTTTGATTTCAACTAATATTTGAGTGCCTTTAGAGTGATTTTATTTATCTATAGATTAGCTGTGTTTCGAGTGCTGTTTTTTTTTTTTCAATTTTTTACTATTTGTTTACTAATGTTTTCTTTTTTACTTTCAGTAATTTTGAACATCCCACAATATGTCTGGAGATTTGTGCAAGACAGCAAGAACGCCTATTCTTCGACTGCATATTGGCATTTATATTTTGTCAAAGTATACTGTACTCACTAAATCTTCAAATATATTGAAAAAAATTTAAATGTTGTCTTTGTATTTTTTATCTTCTAAGTTATTTTACTTTTGATGTAATTGATAACAAATTTAGTATAAAGTATGTGCTTTGTACTTCAAAAAAATTAAACTGTAGTATTGCAAACAAGAATTTTTAAATCACATATTAATTAGTTGAATAAATACTTTTTTTTTAATATTCAAAAACAATAAGCTATTGTACAAGTGTTCTGCTATGCAGCATCATTACATGCATCTTATTTGTTAATTCTCATAAAATATGATAATTCCGTAAACTTAACTGATACAATAACAAATTTAATAAAAATGAATGCATTTAGTTGAAAAAAATTGAAATTAATATAATGTTACAAAAGTCATTTTCCAAGTCATAATAATTAAATCTTAATATTCAATAATACAAAATCAAGTAGTATGAAAATATACTAGCAACTTTATCAAATGCATTAAATTTGTTACCAAATCTTAATTTTTTTCCCCAAAATTGGAAATATTAGCGATTTTAGATTTGAATCATGCTGGAAAAATTTAAATATAAACATGTTCTTTCGATATATTAACTTTGCGATATATTATTGTATAATTATAATATACATTTTTCATGACTAGAGCATTAAAGTATATTTCATATTATTTTTCGGAATATTTAATATTTTCTGAAACTTTAATGAATTTTTATTCCCATTGCCATTTTCTTAATTCATAATGTATTTCAAACATTTAATTTTTTTACTTTTGGCGTTTAATATAAATTTGGCTCTATCTTGTCATAAAGCAATAATGAAATTGGTGTGATATACATTTTTCCATAAAACAATTGATAATTTTATTTTGCCATAAAATAATTGATTGTTTTATTTTTATTTTTATAGTACTAATTAAATTTTTGTATATTTATCAGTTGCTGATAGCGTTTAAGTTTATATTTTTATAAACCCATATTATATAAAATAACTTCAAAGCGCCAAAAGTTCAAAATTATCAAAAAAATTCAGAATCTAAGAACATTCAATTTTTTCAGGTCATTTCTCAATTCTCAAAAATCAATTTTTTTCATAGGGGCTGTTCAAGTATTACGTAAGCACTATAGGGGGGCGGGGGGTTATTGTTTTGCTTATTTATGTGATATTTTGGTGACAGCTTTGCTTACTTTTGCTGACAACGGGGGGGGGGGGGGGCTAAATAATTGTACTAAATCTGCTTACGTAATACTTGAAAGATCCCATAGTTTTCAAAAATGCTTTTTTAAAATATTCAATTTTCGGTACGGGAAGTTCTCGCAATATGCCTTAAGAAACGATATCATGCCTCACTATGCTTATTTTTATTCAATTAATGAGGGTATATTAAAAAATGAAAACCAAACTAAACTAGTGCTTTATGGCAAATTGCTGGAACTTCCTGTAGCAAAAATTAAATTGAAGAAAAAAGATTAAATATGTTTTAAAATTTGAAAAAAATAGATTTTTGAGAAATTTTAAATTTATGAATTAGATGTGCGTATGTCTAATGATCATTTTTTTAAATTTTTTACTAAATGGCATTTTTTACTTTTTTTACTAGCACCGCACACACACAAAAACGCACACACTCTCACACATACACACATCAATTTTTGAATTCATTTCAATCAACCTTCTGAAACGTAAAGATAAATAAATATTTTCATTTTAGATTTTTTTGCGATTACTATAACTTAAGCCCTACGGAAAGTTAAAAGATTTTCGAAAAAAATGTTTTAAGGACTACAAAAACCGATGCTTTATTTAAAATTTATTTTAATACCTTTTACACTAGTAACAGACTGCCCGGAAGTAACTTATAGCCTCTCAATGTGTTATAGGAGGTCCGTGTTATCGAAGGGTTATTAGAATTTCACCTTAGCGTAGTATTAGAATCGTTCTAAGAGTACCGCGTTATAGACCGGCTAGCTGTATAACGATATAGCTTATTCCAGGAATAATTGCTTTAATTGATATACAATAAAACAATATCTTAATCCATCAGTTTTAGCAATTGCCATTTTATTGTATTTGCTTTCAGTACGCAATTTATAATTATCTAAATTTGTAGATAATGGTTTATGTTGTGGGATTGTATATATAAATAGGCCGGTAGAATTACAAATTGTTTTATAAATAGTTAATTTTCATCAGTGTGCTTAATCAACTTGTATTAATTTAAGTGAACACTATGAAAATTTAATACCAGCCATTCTTGTTCTATTAAATATTCATTTCGCGCTCTCGCAATCATTTGTTCCTCCTGATAGTGAAAATGTGACAGCAACCTCCGAAGCCACAGCAATCGGCCAAGAGGACATAATCCTTGTCTTACAAGGAGACATCGAAAATATCCAGAAAAGGTTGGACTATTTAATGAAACATGATTCTGAAAGTTATAACAAACTCTTAAAATTTATCAAAGAGAATAGAGAAAGACTAGAGATGTCTAATAGATACACATTGGCAACAAATTGCGGAGATGCCATTGCCAAAGGTGACTACCAGAGAGCTGCAGATATGTTTAAGTCAGTTTTTCCATCAAACTATGATGAAGTGATTCACGAGGCATATGGCAACAGCTCACAAAATTTTGGTAAAATTTTAAATTTTGCAAACCATGTTTACAAAAAGGACGACAATAAAACATTGTTGTTATATCAAGAGTTGTTTGAGCAATCTAAATCAATTGCAAATGCTGATAGTTTCTTGCAAATGACTACTTTTATCTCAACCAGTTACAATTTCTCGGATTGGGCAAATCTGAAGAGCGAAGTTTTGGATAAATTAATTCAAAGAAAAAGTAGCGAGATGATAAATGTAACAAATGCCATGCTGAACGATGGAAAATTTCGTGAAAGTTCTTATAAGTTTTTTAATCAAGTATATTCTTTGAATCGTGGTGCTGGTTTTAAACTTTACGAGAATATTATTCAAGAGCTTATGAAAAAAAATGAAATATTATATATCATGAACTTTGTTAGTTATTATCCTAATCTTCTTCTGCGGATTCATGGATTATTTGTTTTAAATGATTCATTACGAGCGATAAATTGCCAATATTTCTTCACCTTTGTGGAACATGTCAAAGATACATATGAAAATTCAAATCTTCAACCTGATGAAAAGGAAAAAATGACTAAACTGATACAAAGATTGCCTTCTTCTGTTCAGGCTGCAGTATATACAGACACGTTTTGTATACGAAATAAAGAGTCTGATAATTATTTGAAAGTTTATTATGAAGGATCCTGGCAGGTTCATCTTTCACCTGGCGATACAGCTTATCAAGGCACAAAATGGGTTATCGAAAAGCCGACACCGACTACTATTTTTTTTATAATTAGAAGTCTTCGCTTGGGATGGTACATCGACAATAAATACAGTATTAAATCGAAACACACGTATACTCCATGGGTCAGGTTTGATGTAAACATGAAAGAAAATTATGTATATTTGTACAGTGATTCTAAGTATATAACAGACTATGAAGGCAGTATGACTTTTAATACAAAACCGAATAATTTTTCGCAATGGATTTTAGAAATATGTTGAATTTAAAAAATCATAATATGTGATGCACTAAATCTAAATAAAGTGCTCATGGAATATATAAAGCAAAAATTTCAGCAATCAATTCAGTTCGATAATATATAAAACGTGCTATTTGATATATATTTTTAATGTACTAACAATCCAGTTTCAGCAATTTCTGTTAAATATGAGATTTATGTTTATACCATTTTTTCCAAAATTTAATTGAGTTAAGATACATTATAGTGTTTTGTAGATCAATTTTCAAAATACAATTGTTACAATATATTAAAAGTTCTAGTTTGTCAAAATCGATTTGCTTTTTTTACATTGATATTTATGTAGCACTGTAAAATAAATGATTTTATCTAAATTGCTTGTTGTTTTAACATACATATATATAAATATATATATATATATATATATATATATATATATATATATATATTAAGAGCTAAAACTTTCAGAGAATTGTTTTTTATCTATTTGGAATCATTTGAGCCCCTGGGAGCAAGGAATTTCCAAAATGATCATTTTAAGGACCACCCTAATATATATATATATATATACAGTGGCGTCGGAAGCAAATTTTTTATGGGTGAGCTCGTTTTTTTGTGTTGATAGGCAGACAGTGGGTTCGTTTTTTTTTTAAATATATTAGGCCATATAATTTTTTTAGATTAATGGGTGGGCTCAGCCCTCCCACACGGTTTCGACGCCACTGTATATATATATATATATATATATATATATATATATACACGTATATATATATATATGAAATTTCTTTCGAACTTTCAGAACTTTGAAGTTTGAATAAAACTATAATATGTTTAATTAAAAGTATTTTACCATTTTGGCCCTCTGTTAGAGTTAAATATTTTTATTTTTACTATTGTTTCAAAGAATATATTAAGATTCTAAAAAGTATAATTAATAAATATTTTTTTAGTTCAGAAGGTTTATATTTAGGTGTGCGACATATCAATATTGTACCATTTGTAATTGATGCTTATTATCTAATATAACAACTAGAAAAAACAACCGTAAGGTGGTCTTTTAATAGAGTACTGTATTAAATGATATATAAATCGCAATTAGTAAAGACAATCAATTGTTTACCTTTAGAAATGCACTTGCAAAAATTATGTCATTGTTAGGTTTATACTTCTTACTCGAAATCTTTCAATAATAATATTATCAAGTATTTTACCATTTTACAATCCTGATAGAAGGCTCTTCAAATTCGAACCATTTTATTTAATATTTTTAATTTCATAGTTCAACAAACAAGTTCTAATTCTTGAAAACTTGGGTCAATTTTCATATTCTTATGTGGTCCTTGAAAAGTTATACGTGTTTACAGTTCAAAAGTTTAATTGAACAAAATTAATAACTAGTGGGGTGTATGGCATCGTGCCTTAAAACAGATTGCTGGAACTTCCCGTACCGTAACAAAATGATCGAGAAAT